TTTCCCTATGCTACTGACCCATGACCCAAACACCTTACACTTCCGTTGGAGTCTACTTTACTTCACCTATTTCCTCCCAGTCTGGCTTCTGCCTCCGTCCTGGGTGACTAGTGGGTGTTGGCATTGCCATTCAGATGGGACAACATGGGAGGCGCGGGTGGGAGGATGATGAGCTCAGTTTGAGTCAATTTATTTTTTTAATTTATTTTTTATTTAAGTATAGTTGAATGAGTCAATTTAAAATTAAGTCTGTGGCACTCATGGGACACTGAGAAGGTGGTTGGAGACCTAGCGCTGGAGATAGACATGGGAGTCAAGACACCAACAGGGAAGAGTTCAACTACAGTTCATTTATAGCACAGACCCTTCCATAACTGTTAAAAAGAATGAGGTGTAATGACATGAAACACAGGGAAACATGTCTATGACAAATTATAGAGGCAGGATGGGAGTTGAAGGTTAAGAGCACTCAGGAGCCAGATTGCTTTACGTTCAAAGCCTGGCTCTACCATTTGCTATGACCTTGAACAAATTACTTAACTTGTGCACTTCAGCTTCTCCATCTTCAAAATGAGGGTAAGAAAAATATATATCTCATAAATACCTTTGATGTAAAGATTAAATGAATTAATCTATATAAAGCACTCAAAAACAATGTCTGGTCCATAGCAAGGATATGTGTTGCTGGGTGAAAAAAAAAAAGCAAGTCACAGTTCAGTGTGGCAATTATAGTATGTATGAAAGCATAACAAAACCAAAAAAAAAAATCAACAAAAAATAATTTAATTATGTGTATTATTAGAGTATGTATAATTATCTCAATTGTGTAAAAACTATAGTTTTATATCACAGAAAATTTCTGGATTTATTCAAATATGTTAATGACTAACACTGGTGATTCAGGTGAAGGAAGAAATGGGAATAATACTTTTTAAAAGATAATTTTAGACTTAGGGCAGAGCTGCAAAAGTAGTATAGTTTTCAATGTCCTTCACCCAGCCTTCCCTTATATTAGCATCTTACATAATAGAACAGAGGCTCTCAACTAGGGGTGATTTTGTTCCCCAAGGGACATTTGGCAATGTTTTAAGACATTTTTGATTGTCACAAATGGAGGAAAGGAGATGCTACTCGCATTTAGTGGGTAGAGGCTGAGTATGTTACTGAACATCCTACAATGCACAAAGAATTATCCACCCAAAATGTCAACAGTGCCAAAACTTGAGAAATTCTGCCACAGAATAATGATCAAAACTAAGAAATCAACATTGGTACAATACTATTAACTAAACTAGACTTTAAAAGAATTTCCCCAGTTTCCCCACCAATATCCTTTTTATGTTCCAGGATCTACATTGTCATGTCTCCTTAGTCTCCTCCAATATATGTCAATTTCTAGGTCCTTCCTTGTCTTTCATGCTCTTGATACTTTTGTAGAGTAGAATGTCTCTCATTCTGATGTTTGGTCATGATCGGGTTTGTCAGGTATTTTTTCATGATTAGGTTGAGGTTATGCATTATTGGGAGCGATACCACAGAGATGATATGCCCTTCTCAGTGCATCATACTGGGTGATCAATGATGTTGCAATGTATTACTGGTAGTATTAGGGTTTCAACTGCTGCATAACAAATTACCCTGCAATTTAGTGGATTAACATTTGCCATCTCAGTTTCCAGTACAGTTTAGCTGGTGTCAGCAAGGGTGTCTGTGGTCTTATCTGAAGGCTTAACTGGAAAGGATCTGCTTCCAAGCTCCCTCCTATGGTTGCTAGCACGATTCAGTAGCTAACAGGATACTGGACTGAGGACCACAAGTTCTTCACTGGCTACTGGCTGGGGGCCAGTAAGGCAGCTCACAACCTGGCATCTGGCTTTCATTAATGAGCAAGAGAGCAAGCAAGATAGAAACCAGTCTCTTCACAACCCAATCTCAGAAGTGATATACCATCACTTATGCCATATTCTGTTTGTCAGAAGTTAGATCTACCCTATACTCAAGAGGAGAGGATCACACAAGGGTATGAATACATGAGATCATTAGGGGACATATTAGAAGCTGCCTCTCAGTTGCGACGTTTTTGATCACTTGGTTAGGGCAGTATCTGAACTATTTTCCCCTTTGTAATGAATAACTACTTTTGGGAGAGATACTTTTGAGACTGTGCAAATATCCTGCTTCTGCTTAAACTTTTGCCCACCAATTTTAGCATCTGTTAATGTATCTTGCCTACAGCAATTATTACTACAGTGATGCAAGGGTGGGTGATTTCTTATTTCTCTCTTTCCTTCTACAACTAACAGAAATCCTTTTGTAATGAAGAGCTGGCCCTTCTCCCCCACTCATTTACATATTCAGTTATTTATTTATATGAGCATGGGCTCAAGGACATTTAATTCTTTGGGTTATAATCCAATACTACCGTTATTTTGTTGCTCAACTTGTTCCAAATTTGGCCACTGAGAGCTTTTTCACAGGTTGGCCTCTGTGCCCTTTCAACATGCTTCCGTCCTTTTTATTTGAGTACTTCTTACCTTCTGGTACACAAATTTTGGGGGTTTGTTTTTTAAGCAGACAGGTAAGGAGGATACTGACCTATAAGAGCAGGGGTACCAGAAAACAGAGATTTCTAACTTGTCAGGAGGAAGTGGAGTCCTAGGGAGAGGAGGGAAGCCAAGGGAGCAGGCAGGGAGGTGGCCAATGGAGACCAAGGTGAGACCATCACCCCAGGCAGCCGGCAGGTCTGCATCCCAAGAAGCTTGGTGGCAAAAGGCAGGCAGAAGCCTGGGTGGAGCAGTGGGCTAGACTTGAACGTGGTTATGTCCTGAGGAGGATCAGCCAAGTCAATACACAGAGAGGGGAGAAGGGATGGAGCAAGGTTCTAGGTGAAACTCTCAAAGCAGCTCCAGAATGTGGCTCTGGGAAAGGACAGGGCCAAGGTTGACCCCAGGATCTGTGGCCAGGGGAACAGAAATGGAGTGTTTGGGGTCCTGTCTACTCAAACCTGAGGGAAGAAGGCAGGAGACAGCTAATAATGCCAGGCATCCTGCTGTGTTTTTTTTTTTTTGTGGTACGCGGGCCTCTCACTGTTGTGGCCTCTCCCGTTGCCGAGCACAGGCTCCGGAAGCGCAGGCTCAGCGGCCATGGCTCACGGGCCCAGCTGCTCCGCGGCATGTGGGATCTTCCCAGACCGGGGCACGACCCCGTGTCCCCTGCATCGGCAGGCGGATTCTCAACCACCGCGCCACCAGGGAAGCCCCATCCTGCTGTTTTAACTCCATTATCTCATCATTATCCATTATCTCATCATTATCCATTATCATCTCATCATTATCTCATGGAAACGTGATTGTCATCATGGTTCCCCTTTTTAGAGGATCAGAGAGGCTGACTCCTCCAAATTCCACTGCTAATGATCAAAATTCAAAGCCAGTTGGTCTGACTGTTGAGGCTGGGTTCTTCTTATAGCCTATGCCACAGTGTTTCACTCTGTCCACAAGGATTTCATAAGTGCTAAGAACTGTGGCTGCTTAATCATGCTTTATCTCATCTCCACTTCACAACACACCACTGAAGTAAACACTGTCGGTTCCAGTTTGGATAATGAAATGAAGGTTAAGGGAGATCAAGTAACTTGCCCAGGGTCACAGTTGGTGGCAGAGCTGGGATTCCACCCAGTCTCTCTGAATCTAAACCTGTATTCCTAACTACTACATCTACTGTCCTTACCCAGAGGTTCCTTGGTCTACTAGGGTGACAATAATCCCAGGATCTCTTGACTTTCAGAGACACATGGCTAGCCCCAGAGCTCTGGTCTTCCATTCAGGCTCCCAGTCTACTGGCTCCCTCATTGATCCAATCTTGAACTCTTATTGAGCAGCTGGGTACTGAGAATATAGTGACGACCAGATGCCAACCCTCCCCTCAAGAGATAGCCCTCACTCAAAGATGACAACAGTGAATGAAGCAGCCTCTAAGTTTTTATTAACATGAGTTTTCAAACACAAGCATCCATATTAGTGTGGGGGGTGAGGGTGGGGGAAGAGGGAAGGACAAGGAGGAGGAATTCTGCCCTATTGGTAATAAAGCTCCAGGTTCATCCCATCGTGGATTTCATCTGAAGTACAGGTGTTAAGGAATCCTCACTGTGGGCTCCATCCCCACCCCTCCCATCTGTCACAGTTGGGTCAGGGTGGCCACATTTTAATTTGAAAAGAATCCAAACTTTTTAAAAAGTTCATGTTCCTTTTGCACAACAAACATGTCCGAGTCTCCCTCCACTCTGACCTCCCGTACCCAACTCAAGTGGAGCTCAGTAATAAATACTTTGACTGAAAAGTGTCAAAGTCTTACAAGCCAAGTCAAATCAAAACATTTCACCAACCACCCTCCTCCTCCAACAAAATAATTACATGGCTCCCATTTTCTAAATACTTAGCATGTGCCACATATTAAGTTAAACACATTATGTGCATAATCTCATATAGACTCCAGTATTGAACAAAGAGAACCAAGTCCGGGTATGGAGACCCTTCCTCAAGAAGTCAAAGGATACAGTCCCCCAGAGATACGTGGTCCTTAAAAATCGTGTACCTGCGGGATAAAAACTTTTCAGGAAAAAGCCTAAGGAGGCTCTTCAAGCCTTGGAGGCAAGCTGAGGAGGTTCTGCCTAAGCAAAGGGCTGGCTGCAGCCCTCCCCCAACCAAAAACTTCTGGCCTGCTCCTGTCCAGCCCCCAGCTCTACCCCTGTACTCACCACTTCTTCAATACGATCTTGTTCCAACGGGTGCCAGTTTGGGCTGCAATCAGCTTCTTAAGGTCTCCGATGGTGTCATCAGTACTGGGCGCAGAGGAATTAAGGAAAATGGAAGGGGGAGATAGAACGCGACGAGGACATTTCCAGTAGTGAATGCGCTCTGCCAGGACTCCATTTCCACCCCTGCCCCCGGGTTTAACTAAAATCACCCTACAACATAGACTGAGTTGCCTGCCTCATTCATGTCAAGCACCCTCCGGAAGCCACCGCCTCTCGGCCGCCAGTGGATACTTGCATTTAACGCGGACCTTCTTCCCCAGACGGTCGTTGCAAACAACCTCGATCATCCTGGCTGGAGCTACACAGGGCGGGGACAGAGGCAAAAGAATCAGGACTTCAGGATGGAGCTACACAGAGCGGGGACAGAAGCAAAAGAATCAGGACTTCAGGGGTCCCTCAGGCCCCAAGGCACCCGGTTATTGAGACTTAATGTTCACGCCCCCCTCAATCCCCCAGATCGCAGTCTTCCTGGGCCCCAAGTCCCAGGACCTCGGACCCCACGGCGACCGCGGACCCCAGGCGGCCGCGCGTCCCACCTCCCCCGTCCCGGCCCAGTCCCATTTCAGGTAGCCTGAAGGCCGAGCCTCGCCTCTCGCAGGCGGGGGGATCCCCCAGG